AGATCATCGTGGAGCATGTGGGAGCCAACATGGGTATCCAGATCCTGCTGTTGGTTATTGACCGGAGAACGTCTCGATCATGTCTGCATGGTTCCCGAACCCGTAGGGTCTACACACTTAAGGTTTGATGACGCTAGGGTTATAAAGGAAGTTTGTATGTGGTTACCGAATGTTGTTCGGAGTCCCAGATGAGATACCGGATGTTACGAGGAGTTCCGGAATGGTCCGTAGGTAAAGAATTATATATGGGAAGTCCTGTTTTGGTCGCCGGAAAAGTTTCGGGTTTTATCGGTAATGTACCGGGACCACCGGGAGGGTCCCGGTGGTCCACCAAGTGGGGCCACCAGCCCCGGAGGGCTGCATGGGCCAAGTGTGGGAGGGGACCAGCCCCAGGTGGGCTGGTGCGCCCCCCCCCCACAAGGGCCCAAGGCGCCTAGGGTTTGGGGAGGGGCGCCCCACCTAGCTTGGGGGGCAAGTTTCCCCCTCTTCCCCCCTTTGGCCACCACCCTAGATGGGTTTGGGGCTGCCGCACCCCTTGGGGTGGAAACCCTAAAGGGGGCGCACCCCCTCCCTCTCCCCTATATATACTTGAGGACTTTGGGGCTGCCAATACATGAGTTTTGACCTCTCCATGGCGCAGCCCTGCCTCTCTCCCTCCTCCTCTCCCGCGGTGCTTGGCGAAGCCCTGCAGGATTGCCACGCTCCTCCACCACCACCACGCCGTCGTGCTGCTACTGGATGGAGTCTTGCCCAACCTCTCCTTCTCCCCTTGCTGCATCAAGGCGTAGGAGACGTCACCGGGCTGTACGTGTGTTGAACGCGGAGGTGCCGTCCGTTCGGCACTAGGATCATCGGTGATTTGGATCATGACGAGTACGACTCCATCAACCCCGTTCACTTGAACGCTTCCGCTTAGCGATCTACAAGGGTATGTAGATGCACTCTCCTTCCCCTCGTTGCTAGATTACTCCATAGATTGATCTTGGTGATGCGTAGAAAATTTTGAATTTCTGCTACGTTCCCCAACATTTCTAACCCTAGGCGCAGGGGGAGGCGGGGGGGCGCACCAGCCCACTAGGGGCTGGTTCCCCTCCCACTTCAGCCCATGGGGCCCTCCAGGATAGGTGGCCCCACCCGGTGGACCCCCGGGACCCTTCCGGTGGTCCCGATACAATACCGGTGACCCCCGAAACCTTCCCGATGGCCGAAACTGGACTTCCTATATATAAATCTTTACCTTCGAACCATTCCAGAACTCCTCGTGACGTCCGGGATCTCATCCGGGACTCCGAAAAACTTTCAGGTTACCGTGTGCTAATATCTCTACAACCCTAGCGTCACCGAACCTTAAGTGTGTAGACCCTACGGGTTCAGGAGACATGCAGACATGACCAAGAAGCCTCTCCGGTCAATAACCAACAGCGGGATCTGGATACCCATGTTGGCTCCTACATGCTCCACGATGATCTCATCGGATGAACCACGATGTTGAGGATTCAATCAATCCGTATACAATTCCCTTTGTCAATCGGTATGTTACTTGCCCGAGACTCGATCGTTGGTATCCCAATACCTTGTTCAGTCTCGTTACCGGCAAGTCACTTTACTCGTACCTTAATGCATGATCCCGTGATCAACCACTTGATCACATTGAGCTCATTATGATGATGCATTACCGAGTGGGCCCAGAGATACCTCTCCGTCATACGGAGTGACAAATGCCAATCTCGATTTGTGCCAACCCAACAGACACTTTCGGAGATACCTGTAATGTACCTTTATAGTCACCCAGTTACGTTGTGACGTTTGACACACCCAAGGCACTCTTACGGTATCCGGGAGTTGCACAATCTTGTGGTCTAAGGAAATTATACTTGACATTCAGAAAAGCTACAGCTAATGAACTACACGATCTTTGAGCTAAGCTTAGGATTGGGTCTTGTCCATCACATCATTCTCCTAATGATGTGATCCCGTTATCAATGACATCCAATGTCCATAGTCAGGAAACCATGACTATCGTTTGATCAACGAGCTAGTCAACTAGAGGCTCACTAGGGACGTGTTGTGGTCTATGTATTCACACATGTATTACGATTTCCGGATAACACAATTATAGCATGAACAATAGACAATTATCATGAACAAAGAAATATAATAATAACCATTTTATTATTGCCTCTAGGGCATATTTCCGACACACAAATCTCCAAAGCATCTCGGAAGGCCACCATCTGGGCTGGTGGCTTTGGCGTGGCAGACATATGCTCAAAATCCCACATAGCCTCGTTAAAATCACCGATGGCTAGCCATGGCAAGTCACTAACATTTTACAGATTCTGTAGCGTTGCCCACATGAGCGGTCTATTCTCAATTCTCGGCTCTCCATATATGCATGTTACTCTCCATTGTGCAGCATCACGGTGGACTCAAACTAATGCATCAATATACCGTTCATTCTTGTCCAACACTTGTACATCATATGATTCATGCCAAAACAGTGCCAAACCACCACTCAAACCACTACTATCCACACCAGAAAATCCTTTCAAACCCAAACGACCCCTTAGTCTTCTCATATTTTCTTCTTTTTGCCTCGTCTCACATAAGAAGACCAGAGTGGGGGAATGCGACTGGCAAAGAGTCGCAAGTTCTCGAACTGTCCGGGTATTCCCCGCTCCCCGGCAGTTCCAACTTAAGATATTCATTGGGCCCGGCGGTCCTCCCGCACGGAGGCCGCCTCGTTTGACAGGATTTTGTCAACTCCATCTTCACCTTCGCCTTGCTTCCTTCGCTTGACAATAGGTACTTTCCCGGGGGTGGCATTTGGCAGAGTCACACCCTGAGAACCATCCCCTCCTCCACTTTCAAGCAGTAGCACTGTATTGGATACCTTACCGGCTATGTTCGGTACAGCCTGCCCTCTGACATTGATTGTACCATCATCACTAACAAGCCTTTTACGGACAACCCTTGCATCTCCTCCCCTAGCCCCCATCTCACCATGTGATGTGTCCATATCCTCCATGCCACGGTAGCTCTCACCCGCATCGCTACCTCGCCCAACACATGTTCTGCCTCCTCTGTCCCCTCTTCCTCCTTCTCCACTTCTACCTCCCCGGGAGGGGCCATTGAAAGACCCACTTCCCCTTCCTGCACCTGACCTACCTCCCCCTCCTCTACCTCCTCTTGCACCTCCTCCCGCCGGTTCATTCGACCAGTGCAGCTAATCACCCCATTCACAATTAGTCGGAGCATGAATACCGTCACCACACTCCCCCACCACATGGCCCATGCAACCACAATAAAAACAGAAGTCCAGCAACTTCTCGTAGCTAACCGAGTATTTCTTCCTCTCCTTGAGCGTGATGGGCACAAATCTCACCAGCGGCATATTAACATTGACAAAAACACGCACCCGGAGATGACTTGAGGGATTAATTCTTCCCTCATTCACAATTACAGTAAACGGTGGACTTCCAACTTTCTTAGCCACTTTCTCAGCGAGCTCTTTCTTCCTTGTTAAACCATCCGGCAACCCCTTAATTCTTGCCCACAAAGGATACATCTCAAGAGCATATTCAGCTACATTTGTAAATCCATCATACTCCACCATAACCACTGGATCTCTTCGAAACTGCCAGGGGCCTCCTTTCATCACCCGCTTCCAGTCGCCAAGACAGTGGAATTGTGCTAGGAATAGATTCGGCCCCTTGATGTTGAAGGTCACCCCTTGCGCACAAGCCCATGCGTTCCTCATGGAGTTCAGTAGAGCGGCATGGCTAAAAGGCCTGAGAGTATGAACCCTAAACAGCGCCAACCAACGCACCTCCCTAATCAGATCATCCACCTCCCCTGATAAATCCAAATCTTCTTCCTCCTCCCAATGTAAATTCATGCCCTCGAACGCATCTTCTAGGGTTGGGTCTGGGCCATGGCGATCCCAGTCCTCCTCGCTTCCTTCCTCCAGATCGGGTTCATCCATGTTCGCCTGAATTCCCTCCGATCCCCCACCACCCCGGTTTGCGCCCATATCACTGCCCGATCCTCCTTCTTGCCTCGCTACCTCTCCCGATTGCATCTCCTTCGCCACTTCCTTCGCCCCCTCCATTACAGCTGGAACCTCCATGTAAAACCTGGCCCCGAGCGGCGCCCTGTAGATCACCCCACGCGCACGAGGCTCGGGTAGGAAAACAGCGGTCGGTCGATGTGGACTCCGGCGGCGTCGTCGGAGGACAGGGTAGACCCTAGAGAACCCTAGGGGAAAAGTGTCCTCCCCAACTCGCTATGTTGGGTTACTGCTGGTATGGTAGGATTTCTTACTTGCTATGTGGTAAATAGGAATCTTAAAATCCTCTGAAAATATAGAACAAAATTAAAGTGCAAAGTTGTCAAAATTTTCAAATCTGGTGCAATGTAATTTTTAGTTTGTTTGAGGTACTTTGTACTTTCGGTGAATTTTGTTACTCCTTTCCGCAAAAGAAACACTACCAACTCGCGTTTTTTCCAAAATCTAGTGCAAACCGTCTACTCGTTATTAATAGGTGGTCCAAAATTAGAATTATCTACTTCCTCCGTCTCAAAATGGTATTATTTTTTACACAAAGGGAATATTTATTTAGAGATGTGCAAAGCTCAAAGATGTTCAATCTAATCCACCGAGAAATAGCAAATTACTTTGTCAAGAACTCCTAATACAGACCCTCCTAAAAACCACAACTACACCTAGCTTCTATTCTTTCTCAGATATTTTTTAAAGTTGTGTAAAATAACTATTTTTGAGGGGTAGAAAATGTATTTTCCACGAAAAAAAATAAAGGGCTCCGTGCAGCTCGATCGGCCATCAAATGCACTTTCCGCAACTACACCTAGCTTCTACTCCTAGCTTCCCCACACCGATCGACACCCTATATATACACCGCACCAACGGCGACAGAATTCCGCAACCAGCTAGCTCAGCTCAGCTCCAAGTGAATCGAGCTCGCGCGAACCGATCGAACATGGAGTCGTCGGGCGACACGGCGCCGTTGCACTCCTCACCGACCCCGACGTCGCCGCCGGCAATGGCGACGGGGGCGGCGGTGGTGATGAGCCCGTGCGCGGCGTGCAAGATCCTCCGCCGCCGGTGCGTGGACCGCTGCGTGCTGGCGCCCTACTTCCCACCCACGGACCCCCACAAGTTCGCCACCGCGCACCGCGTCTTCGGCGCCAGCAACATCATCAAGCTCCTGCAGGACCTGCCCGAGGAGCAGCGCGCGGACGCGGTGAGCAGCATGGTGTACGAGGCGGCGGCGCGCGCGCGGGACCCCGTCTACGGCAGCGCCGGCGCCATCTGCCAGCTCCAGAGGCAGGTCGACGGCCTCAAGGCGCAGCTCGCGCGCGCGCAGGCGGAGCTCGCGGCCGCCCGCGCCCACCACGCGCACCTCGTCGCGCTGCTCTGCGTCGAGGTGGCCACCGCCGCCGCCACGCCTCCGCAGGACGCCTACTGCACCGGCGGAGGCGGATCACAGACCCAGCTCGCCGCACCGCCTGGTGTAGGCTCCGCGCACGCGGACGCGCTTTATGTCGTCGACGGCGGCGCGGCGGGCGGCGGCGGCATCATGCAGGCCGGGCACGTCGGCTGGGCCGACGAGCCGCTCTGGACATAAGCGCGCGCAAGCTGGCGCGCACTGGATGATGCACTCGTCACTCAACTGGCCAACTGCTACTACGTACGCATGATTCGTGTGTAATTACTAGTGCTACATTTTACTTAACTGGGTTAACCAAAGGGTTGACCTGCTTGATGAATTTGTTGGAGTTTCAAGATGGAGGAAGATCGAGTTTGTTTTGTTTTGTTGCAAAAATACTACTAGTACATAGAATAAAAAATTCCGTCATGTTGAAGTTCCAACAAGTTCTGAGAAGTCCTAATCGAGACGGAAACTTGTATCCTTGCCTTCTTCTGCAGTTGTGAAGAAGGATGTGGTTGGTTCTCTTGTGTGATGTTAGGTCAAATTGCATTTCTATCATGAACAAATGCATGTCATTTTCAAGAAGAGTATATTTAGTTCTCTACAACTCCATGTAATAGTGATTGTCCATTTCACTATGAATTAGAGAAATTAACTTAGCGTGAATGGGAAATTCTTTGTTTTGTCTAATATACGTCATGTGGAGTGCTTTTTATCTGGTGAACTTGATATCAGCTTGATTTTGATATATTGTTCTATGAGCACTTAATGAATCGGCATCCCTTTATTTGCTCCCAAAATAACCAGACAAATTAGACAATAACATGATTTTTTTTCCCGTTCAAACAACATGATGGAAGTTTCTCAAGAAGCTAGCATTCGTTGATTCAAATTAAAAAAAGTAAATTACAAGTATTATAGATGAAGAACTATGTTATTTCTCTTGACTTCTTCGTATGCAGAAAATGAGATGAGGAAGCTCGATGCATTTCTCTATGTTCTTTTCCTCAAACCGTCTTCACTATCCTTTTCCGAAAGAAAAAAACAACTTCATTATCAATCTGTCTTTGAGTTTGACCGAGAGAGTTGAACGAGCAAATGGTAATTGTTAGTATTAGTGTGAGGATGAGAGAAAGGAAGACATGACTTAGGGCTTACGACATATAGGCAACAATTTGGCGGTATATAAGGTTGAACGAACATTTGTAAGCGATGCATTATTAATCTAGTTAGTGTTAGATGCCACGAGCCTAGATTGTAGCCAATTATGAATGTATTGCAAAGGAGTTACTCCCTCCTTCCATGTATATAGGGCCTAATGCGTTTTTTGAGGCTAATTTTGACCAAATATTAAAGTAATAATATATGACATGCAACTTACACAAAGCACATCGTTAAATTCGTGTGTGAAAGGAGCTTTCAATGATATAATTTTTACATTGTGCATGTCATGTACTATTAATCTTGTCAATAGTCAAAGGCGGTCTTAAAAAACGCATTAGGCCCTATATAGATGGAAGGAGAGAGTAAAAGAAACCGCTTGTGATATGGACAATTTCATAGTCGGTTCTCTTATAGAGCAACAATGATTTTTTTTCACCGATGGCTTGGAGAAAAAACATCTACTATTAACTCTTGAGGATCTCCGCCTAATGTGGGGTACTAGTTTATCGAAATGTGGTGTCCATCACTCATGAGGATCTCCGCCTAATTAAGCTATACAAGTAGAATCAATTTTTGAGTTGTGTGTGTGTGGACGCTTTTTCTACGGTTTTCGGCGTTGTCCCTTTGCATGCATATTTGTAACACTACATTTCGTGCACCCACCCATCTCTCGAAAACAAAATAAAAGGCATGGTTTAGTATTTTAAATAACAATTTCATGCATGATGTGTGCATATCTATAGTTGAGATGGTAGAGAAATATACCAAATCAAAATTCGTTCAATGGTTCACGAATCTGGGAAAAGGTTGGCACAACTGAAGTTGGATCTGACACCATAGTAATTAGAGATGGCACCTTGTGCGTTGCTGTGGGAATCAGTTACAATTATTTCAATGAGGTTTTGCTGTATGAAACATTAGTATTTAGATTATAAATGTGAGAACTGGAACTAAAATGTAGTACATATAATTTATAAATTATTTAATAGTTGTTAAATATTTATTCAATTTTAGTAGTATGCATGGTGCATTTTAAAGGCAGAACTTTTTCGTGCATGGTTGACATGGTTGCATTAAAGATATGTCTTTTTTCATGCATGGTAACATGATGAGTTGGCATAGTTGTATAGTGAGAGAATTGAAATTAGTGAGGATCAACTATATTTTAGAACTACACAGTAATAATTAGCTAGTACGATAATGTGTATGCGGCTTGGAATATTGTGCGGAATGTCAAAACAGCTGAAGATGTACTGTAAACAACTAAATGCCCCTTTTAGCCAAAATCCCCTGCTCAGCCACATCTCCACCGCACACATTGGCTACTTTCTTACCATTTGCCAAACCAGCTGATGGTCTAGATGCCACAGGCATGAAAAGGAGCTGCTCTTAGTCAAAGTTTTTCACACAAATTTCCAAAGTGTTTTCTGTCTGAAGTCTGAACATCACCAGCCACTTAGCCAGGGTGTCAACTGGGGCCGGTCAGTGTCTCCTCACAGAGGAACTTTTAAAGAACAAACCAGCGCTTATCATGGGTCAACGTGAGGTTTAAACCAAATGTATCTGAACTGAAGAAAGAACCAAGGAATGTTAACGAAAATATTCTAGAGTCCATATCTTGTACACGGTTTTGGTTAGAGATAAAATCAAATCGTATTTGTACTTTCCTTCTTCTTGTTTCCCCACGTATGTAACAATCAGATCCTGTACATGCCGTGATGGAGGCTGTTTCCATCCTATATAAACACGCAGACGCGGCCTACTCAGGTAGGTAGAAAACGCTTACCAAATTTACATGGTAATCAGAGCCAACCTTTCAAAACACATCTAGTTTCCATCCTTTCCTCCACCTTCCATCCATGGCGTCCTCCAGTACCACGGCGCCGGCTCTCTACTCCAACCAAATCTCCGAGAAGCTTACTCGTGAGAACCATCTGCTATGGAAGGCCCAGGTGCTTCCGCAGATCAGGGGCGCTGGGTTGTACGGGTACCTAGATGGATCCGTTGCGGCACCAGAAGAGAAGATCTCGACCACGGACAAGGAGGGCAAGGTCACCTCCGTCCCCAACCCCGACTTCATCGCCTGGAGAGGGCAGGATCAGCAGGTCCTGTCCTACATCATCAACTCGCTGTCCAAGGAGGTACTCGTTCAGGTTCTTCATCTGGAGACCTCACACGCGGTATGGAGTGCCCTCACCAACATGTTTTCATCTCACTCCCGATCCCGCATCAACAATCTGCGCATCTCCCTCGCCAATGCTCAGAAGGGGAACCAATCTGTCCCGGCCTACTTTGCCCGGATGAAAGGTTTCGCCGATGAGCTTGCTGCTGCTGGAAAACCAGTTGGCGAGGATGAGCTCATCTCGTTTATCCTTGCTAGCCTCGATATGGACTACACCCCATTAGTCTCTGCCCTTGATGCGCAGACTACTCCTGTATCTCTTGATGCTCTCTATGGACAGATGGCGAATTTCGATCAACGGGTCGAGCTGCTGCAAGGGACCAACTCCGGCTTCAAGTCCTCGGCTAACATGGCTGCACGAGGGCGCGGGCGTGGCCGTGGCGCTCCTCGTGGTCGCGGCGGAGGCCGTGGCAGTAGCAACACGAGGGGTGGCAGCAGCACCAACGGCAACAACAACGCCCATCCCTTCAACAACAACAACAGGGGTGGACGTACAGGCAACATGAACAACAACCGTCCGACTTGCCAGATCTGCGGCAAGTCAGGCCATACGGCCATGGACTGCTGGTACCGCTTCACCGACGATTACCTTCCAGAAGAGAAGTCAGCGGGCGCCGCCAACCTGTCCTCCTACGGGGTGGACACCAACTGGTACGCCGACAGCGGGGCGACAAATCACATCACCGGAGAGCTAGAGAAGCTCACCGTCCGCGACAACTACCGCGGCACCGATTAGATCCACACCGCTGATGGTTCAGGTATGGACATATCCCATATTGGTCATTCGATTATTAACACTCTCAATGATCAAATTCATCTCAGAAATATCTTGCATGTCCCCCACGCATCTAAAAATCTCCTTTCAGTGCATAAAATTGCTGTTGACAATCATGCTTATCTTGAGTTTTGGCCTACTTTTTTTGTGATTAAGGACCAAACAATGGGGAGAATTCTCTATCGAGGCAGATGTAGGGGAGGCCTCTATCCATTGATTCCAATTAGGACGTCGAATAAACAAGCCTTCGGTGCCATCAAGCTATCTCCAACACGGTGGCACGATCGTCTTGGCCATCCATCTTTTTCTATTGTTCAACGTGTGCTTAGGAATAATAAGCTCCCTTGTCATGGAGAGCTAAACCTTGAGTCTGTTTGTGATTCTTGCCAAAGAGCAAAGAGTCATCAGTTACCTTATCAAGTGTCCACAAGTGTGTCTACTGTTCCTCTTGAGTTAGTATTCTCTGATGTATGGGGTGATGCTCCTATTTCTGTTGGTAGACACAAATATTATGTTAGTTTCATCGATGATTACAGTAAATTTACTTGGATCTATCTTATTAAAAATAAATCCGATGTTTTTGAGGTTTTCCGAAATTTCCAAGCACATGTTGAACGAAAATTCGGCCGCAAAATTCTCGCTGTCCAATCTGATTGGGGCGGTGAATACGAGAAACTAAACCCTTTCTTTCAAAAGATTGGGATCTCACATCATGTCTCCTGCCCTCACACTCATCAACAAAATGGGTCGGCAGAGAGAAAACACAGACACATTGTTGAAGTCGGTCTCGCCCTCCTAGCCAATGCATCCATGCCACTTAAATTCTGGGATGAAGCCTTCTTAGCAGCCACCTATCTCATTAATATTCTGCCAAGTAGTGCTATCAATTTTGACATTCCCTTTGAACGTCTATTTCACACCAAGCCTAACTATGCATCGCTCCGTGTTTTTGGTTGCGCATGTTGGCCTAACTTGCGCCCATACAACACTCGGAAATTATCCTTCCGCTCCAAACAATGCGTTTTCTTAGGCTATAGTCCTCGTCACAAAGGAGTTAAATGTCTCGATGTCTCC